ATTATATTTTTATTTATTATTATCTAAAATAATCTATTTTTTTGTATGCAATTATATTAGTTATATTATTATTATTGACAAATGTAGAGTCTTGAAAGTTAAGTAAAATATGAATGGACAAACTATTTTGAGTTGGATACAATTTTAATAAAAGATAAAAATTTAATTTTTTTGTCAAAATAATAATTTTATATTATATCTTTTTTTATCATTACTTTTAGTTGTAATATATTAAATGCAATATATAATTAATGCAATTAGAATTTAAGAAATTTTAAAATGACATTTCAAATGTTAAAAGATTGTTCACTTTTTTGACTCTATAAGATATGTAAGATGCTATAAGAGCTTGTTTTAAATTAAATATATATATATCATTAAATAATAATTTAACAATTTAAGGTGAATTTGCAATAAAATTTCTAGAAACATAAATTTATTTTTGTCATAGATTGTTAATATTTACATAGTATCTATATATCAAAACCTTTTGATACTAATGGTTTACTAATATAATTAACTGTAATTATTAAAATGAAATAATATGTGAAAAATAATTAATAACAAATAATCCAAATGATAAAAATTCGATAATTTTTTATTCTTAAATTTTTAGGAAAATCCTGAAGAATGGAGAAATATGTTCTTTTTAACATCTGCAATATATTTTGTTGGAAATTTTATTTTTATTGTGTTTGGTACATCTAAAATTCAGCAATGGAATGATCCCGTAAAGGAAAAAAATATTTCCATGAGTGCAATTGAATCATCAGTGGAAAATGGATATATGCAAAAAGTAAAAGATACTGAAAAAATGGATTTAGAAAAAAAGTTGTGATATTGCTATGATACTGAAGAATATGTAATTTATAAAATGTATTGTAAATACTGTGATTTTATGGGCATATCATTATTTTCACTATTTTATTTATAAATGTTTGTGTATATTTATGTATGTTATATTTAATATTTATTATGAAAGTATATATATAATAATGATTGATAATTATATTATACAAACAAATTTGTTTAACATTTCAGTCATGTTTTAGATGTTGCTTTGGTATAGATTTCCAAATTGTTTGTATAAGATATATTGTACATAACATTGTTAATAAAAATGTAGTATAAGTTACTACATATAACATAGTTGTCTCACCAACTGGTATTGTCCATAGATCTTTCTTATCCTGCAAAATGGATATGAAAAATATTTGTTCACATAAAAATAAAATATCTCTACTATTTTAATAATAAAGTTTATTTTTTACCGTGACATACGGAATTTCTCTCCATTTAGGTACAATTGTTACACATGGAGAACACAAATCAAGTTTAGAAATTCTATAGCCTTCAATTTTTTTTCTACAGCCTAATAGCAATATTGGGTCTGGTAAAGTAATGTTCATATATTTATTAGTATCATTGGCATATTGATAACGTTGATGTATTGGAAGTTTTAAAGCACATTCTGCATGAGTTAAACTTGAACAAATAATTACATTTTGTATTTGTGCTTTTTCTGCAAATAACTCAATATCAGCCTTTTCATGAACGCATATTGTACTCTAAAATAGTAGAGAAATAATTTATATTTATTTCACAAAAACAGTTAAAATTATTTCGATTTAAATCAGATCTCATATTTGTTATATTATTTTTTTCTAAAGTAAAATAATATAATTATATGTGTGTGTGTGCATTATTTTGCTTTAGAAAAAAATATATAGCAATAATTTATGTGAAACACCTAAAACAAGGTTGCTTGAATATATGTTATTGGTGATAAAATAAAAAATTTCAAACAGTCTCAAGGGACATAATCTACTAATAATTGTTTTTTGGTGAGTGGAAGCATAGAGGACAGATATAAAAGTCAATTTTGTTTCTAAAATAGAATCATATAATTTTTGAAGCATTGGTAAATTTTAATTTTCTATAAAAGTTTATTATAGATTTAGATATTATAATTATAGAACATTTTCTATAAAAAGTATTATAATCTATTTATGTCTAAAAACTATAAGATTATATATAAAAACAACATAAACACAAGAATATCGATATCTTTCCTTTTCTTTGTACGATAGATTTTAAATTAATATTATAATATTATAATAATACAATTGAAATATTTACTAATGGTTTTCAGAAATAAACAAGTTAATATTTCTTA